TAAAATATTTTTTAATATATATATAAACGATTATTATCAATTGAAATCCGATATTTATCCTTAATATAATAAATTGAATCATATAGAAGGGCGAAGAAGCAAAAAAAAATATTACTATATATTTTTTTTGTTCTTCAATTGCAACAGAAAAAGAGAGAGAAAGTAAGACTTAAAAGTTCTTTTTTTTATCCTTGAAAGCTTCTAAAGAAATGCTTTAATTTTTACTACATATTCAATACTTGAAAACAATTTTAATATTATTTTGTTCGTTCTCTATTTAAATTTATAGGTAGTAAAGAAAGGAAGAAGAACATTTGAAAGTATTTATATATAATTACGTTATTCGTTATAAAACCCCCCTATATATTAGAAGACCCCCCCCCCCCCGAAGGATTTTTTTTGCAGGAATGGTGTGTATTTTGACGGGACTTTTCGAAGGATCATAATAGAGGACTCGCGGGGGTGTTTATTTACTATTGAATAACATACAAGACAAAGAATATAATAGAAACGAAATACATCAATAGTAGTAGGCGTATACTATAAAAATAAGTATTAAATTTATTATTTTTTGTTTTAGATTAAATAATTATTTTTTTAAAAGATGAGTTCTACTGAACCAACTGATGCTTTTCTTCGAAAAATTTTTACACAGTAAGTTTATGCAGCATTTCTTTTTACATAAAATTTATATATTAAATTTGATTATATCTTTAGAGTAGATACTGATAAATCAGGTTCAATATCATCAAATGAACTTCAATCAGCTTTATCTAATGGTACATGGAGTCCATTCAATCCTGTAAGATATTGAATTAATAGATATTGTATTTTGAATACCTTCGTTCTTTTTTAGGAAACCGTTCGAATGATGATAGGTAAGGTTTATTAATATTCATATTTTAATATCTTGAGATATTTATTTCGTATCGTAAATAATTGTTTAGATTTTTGACATGAATTATATTCGGTAAAGAGAAAGATAAGATTATTTTATTGAGATTTAAGTCAGTGATAACTTCTGTTGTTATATTGTAAAGATTTATTTCATAATACCGGTTTATCGACTTATGCCATGCTCTCTCTCTCCGTTACCAGATTGTTATCTTTGACTTGATTTCAATAACGAATTAGTCTAGAAATGGTTAAATGAATTTATTTATTTTTTTATACTAATTTATAATGCTAGATCGATTAATTTTGCTTTATTTTTGAGAAGAAATTTGAATTGATTTTTAACAGGTATGTTCGATCGAGATGGATCATCAACTATTGATTTTCAAGAATTTCGTGATCTTTGGAAATATGTATCTGATTGGGAAAAATGTTTCAAGTTTGTACTATTTTTTTCAATTGTAACAAAAAACACAGAATATCTTTATTCATTATAGAAAATTTGATTTGGATGGTAGTGGTTCAATTGATAAACATGAACTTAAAACAGCATTATCTTCATTTGGTAAGTTTACAATAAATGAAATAGTCTATTCTTTGTAATGAATTTATTTTGTTTTAAGGATATCGTTTATCAGATAATTTCTATGATTTACTTATACAAAAATTTGATCGAACTGGTCGTGGTACAGTTGCATTTGATGATTTTATTCAAGCATGTGTTTCAATTCAAACTTTAACTAATGCTTTTCGTCGACATGATCGTCAACAAATTGGACAAATAACAATTGGTTATGAAGATTTTTTAACACTTGTTTTTTCAACTCGAGTTTAAATAAGCCATGCTCTATTGTTTCGTTTCATTCCTTTCTTTCACTATTATGTCTAATCGAGAAATATTTGGTAACATAAGTATTTTAATATCAAATCAACTATTTTGTCTTTACATGTATATTTCTTAACACTTTTCTACGCTTAATACTTCACGTTGCTTGTTTTTTCTATATACGAATTGGTTATTCGAGTTTTTTTTGTGTCTTACTAAGGCAACTCAATCAAATCTAATAGAACATACTATTTACCAAACTTCTTTCATGACTTTTTCTTTCTTTTTGATATCTTGTTCATTGTGATTAATGAATCTCACTTAATTGATTGTTTATCTTCTTCTTCTTCTTCTTCTTCTTCCATTTTATATTCCATTATTGTTTAACTATACGAGCAAATTTCAAAAATATTCATACACTGTACTAATTATTATAATAAAATTATATATAATTGATAATAATACAATTTTTCAATACGTAAATGAGAATTGACATGGTACGAGTTTCGATTTTATTGGATGAAATATTTACTTGCTTATACAATGTGTGTTTAATCTTTCAAATAAACAAGAAAGCAAACGTTGATTTTGAAAAATTGGAAATATAGTGCATTAGATTATATTTATATGAGAAAGAATTCTAAGATAGGTGATAATGAAACAAATGGATATTCAAAAATAATTTCGATATAAAATCGTCAACAATCTCTGATTATTTTGAGCGTTTTACGAGAGCTATCTTTTAAAGTCATTTATTGTTTGAAATTAAGAAGAAATATCAAGTAAACAGAATATATGTAAATGGTATTATGGATAATAAAATTGATACAAAACTAGTTTTTTGATACATAATAAAACAACAAAGAAGGATATGTTTCATTGAGAATTAATTTAAGTAAACTATCTATTTGAAGACAAAGAAATCTTACTAATTCATTTAACAGTATTTAGCATATATATATATATGAAGTGAATATTTATATTGATTGACAGATAAAAGTCTGCCTTTCATCTTATCTTCTCTCTCTCTTCATTTATCGATCTTGTTCGTTACAATTGACATTTTGA